AACACGTCGGCAGTTTCAAAAAGAAAGAAAAACTTTCACCATCACTCATACATACTGTAATCACTGTCTTTGCAGAGAAGCTCAGATACGACAGTTTAGACGTCCCTCCAAACTGCCAATATCCTAAACCTCTTTTTTAAAGTGCAGGCATTGTACTTCCTATTTCCAGAACTCAAGTTCAGCTAGCCGGTTTCCCTAGAAACCGGCTAGCTGGACTTGAGTCCCTGGATCCTTTCAGAAAATATTACTATGCTCACACTCCAACAGCTCGTCAGGTCCCAAAATCATTTGTCTCCATTCATTCTTATCTGATATGCTCACGCACGCTTGCTGGAAGTCCAAGCCCCTCGCCCATAAAACCTCCCTTACCCTCTTCCTCCAACCTTTCCGGGGACGACCCCTACCCCATTTTCCTTCCCCAACAAATTTATATGCTCTTCAAGTCATTCTACATTGTTCCTTACTCTCTGAATGACAAAACCACCTCAACAACCCCTCTTCAGCCCTCTGACTAATACATTTAATAATTCCACACCTCCTAATTTCCACACTACGAATTCTCTGCATAATATTTACACCACACATTGCCGTTAGACAGGACATCTCCACTGCCTCCAACCGCCTCCTCGTTGCAGCATTTACAACCCAAGCTTCACACCCATTTAAGAGTGTTGGTGAAATTAAGACACATGTGCAACATCTGGGTATCTTTATTGTAGACGTTTCGCCATGGCGAAACGTCTACAATAAAGATACCCAGATGTTGCACATGTGTCTTAATTTCATCTTGTCGGTATTATATACCATTCTTACACAAGAGTGTTGGTACCACTATACTCTCGTACATTCCCTTCTTTGCCTCCATGGATAACGTTCTTTGTCTGAACAGATACCTCAAAGCACCACTCATCTTTTTTCCTTCATCAATTCTGTGATTAACCTCATCCTTCATAAACGCATCCGCTGACACGTCAACTCCCAAATATCTGAAAACATTCACTTCTTCCATACTCCCTCCCTTCAATGTGACATCCAGTTTTTCTTTATCTAAATCATTTGATACCCTCATCACCTTACTCTTATCTATATTCACTTTCAACTTTCTACCTTTACACACCCTCCCAAACTCGTCCTCTAACCTTTGCAACTTTTCTTTAGAACCCCCCAAAAGCACAGTATCATCAGCAAAAAGTGTGTCAATTCCCATTTTGTATTTGATTCCCCATAATTTAATCCCACCCCTCTCCCCAACACCCTAGCATTTACTTCTTTTACAACCCCATCTATAAATTTATTAAACAACCATGGTGATACTAGACCTACTTTTATCGGGAAGTAATCTTCCTACACACCCTAACCTGAGCCTCAGTATCCTCATAAAAACTCTTTACAGCATTTAGTAACTTACTATCTATTCCATGCTCTTGTACTGCAACATCTGCCACATTGTGTCCCTATCCACCCTATTATATGCCTTTTCTAAATCCATAAATGCAATGAAAATTTTCTTACCTTTATCTAAATACTGTTCACATATATGTTTCAATGTAAACACCTGATCTACACACATACACACATTATATATATATATACATACATATATATATATATAATATATATATATATATATATATATATATATATATATATATATATATATATATATATATATATATATATATATGTATATATATATATGTCGTGCCGAATATGTAAAACTGGTCAATTAGCAAGAACTCTTTTAAAATTAAGTCCTTTCTAAAATTTTCTCTTATACGTTTAAAGATATATTTTTTTCATTAATGCTGATGTAAAAATTTATAATTTTGCACCAAAAGGAATTTAGAAAACTTACCTAACCTTATTATAACAAGAACAATTTATTTTAGCCTAACCCAACTAAATATATTTTAGATTTGTTTACAGAAATTTAATACTAAACAAACAGAGTGAAATACATTTTTTTTTGTTAGGTTCAGAATGATTTTGGCGAAATTATTGCATACACAAATTTTCACTTGTCCTGTATGGCAAGATGAACGTTGCTATTTAAGCCAAGTTCGCAAGTTCTGCCTATTCGGCACGACATATTATATATATATATATATAATATATATATATATATATATATATATATATATAATATATATATATATATATATATATATATATATATATATATATTATATATATATACATGAGCAAATGCAAATGCAGGAACAGGCAGAGATACAGTCACAAGGAGAAAAACACTAGAATAGTGGGAGAGAGAAAACCGGTGACGGAATAAAGCTCATGAATTTGAGAATCAACTTGGTTCAGTAAAAAATTGTCAAGGCCAAACTGGCGAGTACATGTTTTCCCTGGCTGGTAATTAATGCGGGAACAACAATACCTTTGTCTGTAACCTGTTCTTATAAAAATAGTTTTTTGTAACGCGAATTACACTATCGTAATCGTAACTTAAACAATCTACCGTTCATTGTTTAAACGCCGTAGAACCACCAAAATTAACAGAATAGTTTCTTGCCTAGTCTTCTGTTACATATGTGTTACATGTGTCCAGCACTCGCTGGTGCACTCTGTCTCCTCCTCGGCTCTCTGGTAGCCTTCCCTTTCTCTCTCTACACAACCAATGTACAACCAGCCAAGCCTCACTGTTGTACACCTGTGGAACAAGTATCTACTGTGAGTATAAAAGGGTTGTGATAGCGACCTTTATTCCCCCACAGCTGTAGACCCATGATTACTAACAGGTGTAGGCCCTTGATCCTTAACTGCAGACCCTTGATCCCTAACAGCTATAGACCCAAGATCACTCTCCACGAGCTGTAAACCCATGATCACTGCCACAGTTGTAGACCCAAGATCCCTAACCTATGATCACTCTTCACGAGCTGTAAACCCACTAAACATCACTATTTCACATCTAAACCCACCAAATATTACAATCTCATCGGAGTACTTGAGTGTCTGTAATTAATGAGGCGCCCGACAGGGAACGACCATTAATAACAACTGTGGTTAAGATAATGACGGCTACACCATAATGGGTTGAAATTGGTAGCTGTGGCGGGTGATCCATCAGACGTGCGGTGTCGGGGGGCATCAGGGTAGCCGAACAGGGCGGCCCCCAACCCGGCTGTCGGGGCAGATGAAAACTCTCTTTCGGTTTAAACGAACTGGTAAGTAGAGTGAGTGGTAGTAGTGTCTTGCATACACAAACATACCTTCACATGCCTCTGCACTGCGACATACATTAACTAGTTTGTATACACGATAGTGTGAAAACAGGTCATACAGGTGCTGTATAATATGTTTGGTTCCTACAGTACCTGGGAAACGAGAGATACTAAGGTCGAAAGAAAAAGGTGGGAAGGATAGTTCAAATTTGTCGGATCAAGATGCAGCGCTGTATGACTCTTATGGGTTCATTGCTTTGTTATGATTATGATAATAATAATTCGGAACAAGAGATATTACATAAATGGTTTAAAACACCGTCAAGAACATGAATGAGATACTTGTGCAACACTTGGGTATCTTTATTGTCTTTCGTAAGTGTTTCGTTCGTTAATCTTTTGGGTCAAGAGGCCCTCAGAGACAGCATCGTGGTTGAGCACTAACCTCATTTCCTTGGCGATGGCTACTGGGTGTATCCTGATCCTGCGGGCGTAATGTGGGAGTAATGGGGTGATCGTAGAGTCGTTACCAGCCGCCCGCCACCGTGAGGGGGGAGTCGTGGTGTCACCAGCTACCCTCCAGGCAGGAATAGGGTCGTCCAGGGCATCCATAGACCATGCCCCGCCAACCCTCCCCGCGACGCCCATGGGGGCGCTACCTGGCAGGTCGTTGGTGCTGGTACTCCGCGAGGTGTACACAGGAGGCGTAGTGGCCGCCTGATACTGAGGTTTCCGCTGCTTGATTGTCTGTTGTTGTTGCTGCTGCAGATCAGCAGCAGACCAGCGACGTCTGGCCTTCAGCGGAGTTGGACGACGGTTCTCGAGTTTGTGTTCCACTAACTTGTCTGTGCCGTTGCTGCGACGCTGAGGTCTTCTGACAACAGGCGATGACGACGACCCAGTGTTATTAGTGCTACGCTTCCTGACGGCACCGGTGCGCCGCGCGGCAGCCTCCAGGACACTCTTGTATTCCAGCTCCTCGGAGAGCTCTTCCAGGCTCCCATTAGAAAGGCTTCCTGGGCTAGCTTGATTGCTGATCGTGCTCTCTATTCCAGGTGAATCGAGACTTGTCGGGCTGATAATGGGGAAGCTCACCTGATCGGTCTTGAACTCTGGCGAACAGACGATTTTATCATTGTACAGACAAGCCTCTTCCGGGCTGTCCCCGAAGTAAACCCGTGTTATGTGTTTTATATTGGGTGGCGTGGTGGGAGAGCCGTCACTGTCATTGTGAGCGTTGGTGGACTCTCCGGAGTCTGAGTAACCGGAATCTTGCGACCGGTGAGATGGGGAGCCCCTCAAGGACCCCCGGAAAGACCCACCGGGGGACACTTCTCCGGCCTCCTCTCCTGAACTGCAGGCTTCCTCCCCTGTCTCCAGGATAGCGGCCTCACATATTCCTCCTCGGATGTCTTTATTAGACTTGCAAGAGTCTCTGTACAGTGGGCTGATTTTGTGAAGAACTCCAATCTTGGAGGTGAACGTGGACTTAATGTTTGAAGATCTAGGAGTGGTCGTGTTTCTAGAGGTAGGGCTCTTAGAGCTGGTCAGGACCTTAGAGGTGGGCGTGGTTCTGGCATCGTGAGCCTTGACGCTGGTGGGCACACACGGTGGGCTAAAACTTAGTTCTTTGCAAAGTGATTTGTCTTTCGGAGTGGCGTCGTTGGTGCCGGCGGCCCATGACTCCGTCTGCGAGGCGTAGAATACTCGAGACCTGGTCCGCTTAAAGGGCGTATTGGATTTCACCTCCCGCTGCACCCTCGGTGATGACTGTGACACTGGAGGATCTCGACGACCTCCCACCGACAATCCAGCTCCCTGAAGAAGAAGAACAAAAACATTCAGTAAATTTATGTGCACCTTAAGCGAACCTAAACTTCTGATCGACAAGTTTCTCTACGAAACAAAAGAGGACTACAAAAACACTATAAAACACTACAAAAAAATACAAAAAAAACTGCAAAAACTCTACGCAAACACAACAAAAACACGGCAAAATCACTGCAAAGTCTGTCGTACTCGTTAAGCAAATACTATGTAAAAGACATCTTCACAATTAGGTCGGTTTAGTCTTTCCTCCTCCCGATGACACAACTGGTTGTAATGCTGTCACTGTTGCTGTGTTGGCAGTGATGATTGTTGTGGGGATGAGCTGGGCGCTTGTTGAGATTGTGCTGATAGCTTGTTGTGTGTGTGCTGGTAGCTTGTTGTGTGTGTGCTGGTAGCTTGTTGTGTGTGTGCTGGTAGCTTGTTGTGTGTGTGCTGGTAGCTTGTTGTGTGTGCGCTTGTCACTTGTGTGTGTGCTGATCCCTTGTTATGTGTGTGCTGGTCGCTTGTTGTGTGTGTGCTGGTCACTTGTTGTGTGTGTGCTGGTCGCTTGTTGTGTGTGTGCTGGTCACTTGTTGTGTGTGTGCTGGTCCCTTGTTGTGTGTGTGCTGGTCACTTGTTGTGTGTGTGCTGGTCCCTTGTTATGTGTGTGCTGGTAACTTGTTGTGTGTGTGCTGGTCGCTAGTTGTGTGAGTGCTGGTCACTTGTGTGAGTGCTGGTCACTTGTTGTGTGTGTGCTGGTCGCTAGTTGTGTGAGTGCTGGTCACTTGTGTGAGTGCTGGTCACTTGTGTGTGTGCTGGTCGCTAGTTGTGTATGTGAAGTCGCTTGTTTTGTGTGTGCTGGTTACTTGTTGTGTGTGTGCTGGTCACTTGTTGTGTGTGTGCTGGTCACTTGTTGTGTGTGTGCTGGTCACTTGTTGCGTGTGTGCTGGTCACTTGTGTGTGTGTGCTGGTCACTTGTTTGTGTGTGTGTGCTGGTCACTTGTGTGAGTGCTGGAAGCTTGTTGTGTGTGTGCTGGTCACTTGTTGTGTGTGCTGGTCACTTGTTGTGTGTGTGCTGGTCACTTGTTGTGTGTGTGCTGGTCGCTTGTTGTGTGTGTGCTGGTCACTTGTGTGAGTGCTGGTCGCTTGTTGCGTGTGTGTTGGACGATCGTTTTGTGTGTGCTAATCGATCATTCTGTGTGTGCTGGTCGATCGTTGTGTGTGTGCTGGTCGATCGTTGTGTCCTGGTCGATCGTTGTGTGTGTGCTGGTCGATCGTTGTGTGCTGGTCGCTTGTTGTGAATGTGCTGGACGATCGTTGTGTGTGCTGGTCGATCGTTGTGTTTGTGCAGGTCGATCGTTGTGTGTGTGCTGGTCGATCGTAGTGTGCTGGTCGCTTGTTATGTGTGTGCTGGCCGATCGTTGTGTGTGTGCTGGTCGATCGTTGTGTGTGTGCTGGTCGCTTGTTGTGTGTGTGTGCTGGTCGACAGTTGTGTGTGTGCTGGTCGCTTGTTGTGTGAGTGCTGGTCGATCGTTGTGTGTATGCTGGTCGATCGTTGTGTGTGTGCTGGTCGCTCGTTGTGTGTGTGCTGGTCGATCGTTGTGTGTGTGCTGGTCGATCATTGTGTGAGTGCTGGTCGCTTGTTGTGTGTGCGTGCTGGTCGATAGTTGTGGGTGTGCTGGCCGCCTGTTGTGTGTGTGCTGGTCGATCGTTGTGTGTTTGCTGGTCTATCATTGTGTGTGTGCTGGTCGATAGTTGTGTGTGTGCAGGTCGATCATTGTGTGTGTGCTGGTCGCTTGTTGTGTGTTTGCTGGTCTATCATTGTGTGTGTGTGCTGGTCGATAGTTGTGTGTGTGCTGGTCGATCATTGTGTATGTGCTGGTCGCTTGTTGTGTGTGTGCTGGTCGCTTGTTGTGTGTGTGTGTGCTGGTCGATAGTTGTGCGTGTGCTGCTCGCTTGTTGTGTGTGTGTGTGCTGGTCGATCATTGTGTGTGTGCTGGTCGCTTGTTGTGTGTGTGTGCTGTTTGATCGTTGTGTGTGTGCTGGTCGATCGTTGTGTTTGTTCTGGTCGATCGTTGTGTGTTTGCTGGTCGATCGTTGTGTGTGTGTGCTGGTCGATCGTTGTGTGTGTGCTGGTCGATCGTTGTGTGTGTGCTGGTAGATCGTTGTGTGTGTGCTGGTCGATCGTTGTGTGTGTGCTGGTCGCTTGTTGTGGGTGTGCTGGTCGATCGTTGTGTGTGTGCTGGTCGATCGTTGTGTGTGTGCTGGTCGCTTGTTGTGTGTGTGCTGGTCGATCGTTGTGTGTGTGCTTGTTGATCGTTGTGGGTGTGCTGGTCGAAAGTTGTGTGTGTGTGCTGGTTGATCGTTGTGGGTGTGCTGGTCGATCGTTGTGTGTGTGATGGTCGATCGTTGTGTGTGTGCTGGTCGCTCGTTGTGTGTGTGTGCTGGTCGCTTGTTGTGGGTGTGCTGGTCGATCGTTGTGTGTGTGCTGGTCGCTTGTTGTGGGTGTGCTGGTCGATCGTTGTGTGTGAGCTGGTCGATCGTTGTGTGTGTGTGCTGGTCGCTTGTTGTGTGTGTGCTGGTCGATCGTTGTGTGTGTGCTGGTCGATCGTTGTGTGCTGGTCGCTTGTTGTGAGTGTGCTGGTCGATCGTTGTGTGTGTGCTGGTCGATCGTTGTGTGCTGGTCGCTTGTTGTGAGTGTGCTGGTCGATCGTTGTGTGTGTGGTGGTCGATCGTTGTGTGTGTGCTTGTCGATCGTTGTGTGTTTCCTGATCGATCGTTGTGTGTGTGCTGGTCGATCGTTGTGTGTGTGCTGGCCGATCATTGTGTGTATGCTGGTCGATCGTTGTGTGTGTGCTGGTCGCTTGTTGTGTGTGTGCTGGTCGCTTGTTGTGTGTGTGTGTGCTGGTCGATAGTTGTGCGAGTGCTGGTCGCTTTGTGTGTGTGTGTGTGTGCTGGTCGATCGTTCTGTGTGTGCTGTTCGATCGTTGTGTGTGTACTGGTCGATCGTTCTGTGCTGGTCGATAATTGTGTGTGTGCTGGTCGCTTGTTGTGTGTGTGTGTGCTGGTCGATAGTTGTGGGTGTGCTGGTCGCTTGTTGTGTGTGTGCTGGTCGATCGTTGTGTGTTTGCTGGTCTATCATTGTGTGTGTGCTGGTCGATCGTTGTGTGTGTGCTGGTCGATCATTGTGTGTGTGCTGGTCGCTTGTTGTGTGTGTGTGTACTGGTCGATAGTTGTGCGTGTGGTGGTCGTTTGTTGTGTGTGTGTGTGCTGGTCGCTTGTTGTATGTGTGTGCTGGTTGATCGTTGTGTGTGTGCTGGTCGATCGTTGTGTTTGTTCTGGTCGATCGTTGTGTGTTTGCTGGTCGATCGTTGTGTGTGTGCTGGTCGATCGTTGTGTGTGTGCTGGTCGATCGTTGTGTGTGTGCTGGTCGCTTGTTGTGTGTGTGCTGGTCGATCGTTGTGTGTGTGCTGGTCGATCGTTGTGTGTGTGCTGGTTGATCGTTGTGGGTGTGCTGGTCAATCGTTGTGTGTGTGTGCTGGTCGATCGTTGTGTGTGTGCTGGTCGTTTGTTGTGGGTGTGCTGGTCGTTCGTTGTGTGTGCTGGTAGCTTGTTGTGGGTGTGCTGGTCGATCGTTGTGTGTGTGCTGGTCGATCGTTGTGTGCTGGTCGCTTGTTGTGAGTGTGCTGGACGATCGTTGTGTGTGTGGTGGTCGATCGTTGTGTTTGTGCAGGTCGATCGTTGTTTGTGTGCTGGTAGATCGTTGTGTTTGTGCAGGTCGATCGTTGTTTGTGTGCTGGTCGATCGTTGTGTGTGTGCTGGTCGGTCGTTGTGTGCTGGTCGCTTGTTGTGAGTGTGCTGGTCGATCGTTGTGTGTGTGGTGGTCGATCGTTGTGTGTGTGGTGGTCGATCGTTGTGTGTGTGCTTGTCGATCGTTGTGTATTTCCTGATCGATCGTTGTGTGTGTGCTGGTCGATCGTTGTGTGTGTGCTGGCCGATCATTGTGCGTATGCTGGTCGATCGTTGTGTGTGTGCTGGTCGCTTGTTGTGTGTGTGCTGGTCGCTTGTTGTGTGTGTGTGTGCTGGTCGATAGTTGTGCGAGTGCTGGTCGCTTTTTGTGTGCGTGTGTGCTGGTCGATCGTTGTGTGTGTGCTGTTCGATCGTTGTGTGTGTACTGGTCGATCGTTCTGTGCTGGTCGATCGTTGTGTGTGTGCTGGTCGCTTGTTGTGTGTGTGCGTGCTGGTCGATAGTTGTGGGTGTGCTGGTCGCTTGTTGTGTGTGTGCTGGTCGATCGTTGTGTGTTTGCTGGTCTATCATTGTGTGTGTGCTGGTCGATCGTTGTGTGTGTGCTGGTCGATCATTGTGTGTGTGCTGGTCGATCGTTGTATGTGTGCTGGTCAATCGTTGTTTGTGTGCTGGTCGATCGTTGTTTGTGTGCTGGTCGATCGTTGTTTGTGTGCAGGTCGATCGTTGTTTGTGTGCTGGTCAATCGCTGTGTGTGTGCTGGTCTCTTGTTGTGTATTTGCTGGTCGGTTGGCCGTGTTAAGTGTACGCAACTCTGGTTTAACACAGTAATGAGTATCTTCACCATCCAAGTTTAACGCATGTTAGAGCAATCGTCTCAAATGTACCTTTCTGCTGAGATTTTTTTGGATTGGTTTCTTTATAATTGGAGTGTTGAAGAACCTTTCAGTTGTCCGGTCATTTATAACAACTAAGGGAACGCTTCCGATATATTTATTTTATTTTAAAAATGTAAGGAGAAGATTCAGCCTCCCTAAATATTTTATGTCTAGATAATGGACTACATAAAAATATAAGAATGGAGGAAAACTGCAGCAGGCCTATAGGCCCATTCTAGGCAGGTACTATTTTATAATTTCAAAAAAGTGGCAATAAATAGTTTTTAAGTTTTGTATCTGTATTATTATTTTTTAATAGCCTATGCCTGGCACGACACCCGTGCGAGCCGGTCAGCGCAAGGGCAGGTGGAGGCTCGATACACCGT